TATTGCAATCCGGCTGTCCGTAGAAGCCTGCCATCTACCAGCCAGCTGCTGCATTCCATATGCTACATCTTAACTGCGTACACGCCGTTTAAAGCAGGTTTTGTGTTCATTTTAATAATATTCCTTTCCATGATATTCAAGTGCAGCTTGTCCCGTCTACAAGTCCAGTAATATTCATATTGGAACAGATGCTTGTGAAACATTTTCACTAATTTTAATTCTGTAACATATTTTATAAATATATGTGTAATTATTCCTACTGATCGATATTATAGCCAAACCCTACACATTCATAATTTTTGTACCACATCCACGTACCTGTTGAATTGTCGTCGTTGTTAAAGAAATTTCTACATCAGTCCCCAGACATCGTTTGTTTTATTATTACGCAAATTGGCCTGTGATTGGGTTAAGGTCTATTGTTATTACACACGCCACAGAGCAAAGCCAAAAACAATGAACCAATAGAAGGCTCGAAATCCAACCAACCTGCACTACTATCGCGGCGTTGCCAAATATTACGAATACCAGCATTCAAATCGTCTCAGGAATGCACGTAAGTAAAATGAACTTAAAAGTGCAACATAACCGTACGTTTATGAAAAGGTTATTAAACTCAGAACTTCGGTTCGTGAACCAAGAGCGGAGGATTTCTTTACTCACCAGCCAACACAAGCCGTCTGCCACCGTCTGTTCCTTTCCACTCGAGGGAAACCACGCGACTGAGGGACGGCTTGCAGGCAAGGTGAGTGAGTGAGTGGCAGGCCTGCCTACCTGACGCATTCAATGGCCAGCTGCCGGCATCCTCCAGTGACGAAGCATCGCGGAGTAACAATCCAACCTAATCTGCGTGATCTGTCCGTGGTTCAATAAAAGTGTATATGACGCCCGACCCAGTAAGTTATCGGCTATTTTTGTTGACTGACATTAAACTCTAATCCTTACGTAATCACGAACAGTGGTTTAGCGATCTATAATTACTCTGCAATTTCCCTAATCCAGTCTACTCACGGTCCAAAAATCCTTTCGTGGTCTATATTTCAAGTTCTCGTTGTGATGAGTCTTCTGGTAAGATATAAGTGTAGATAACTAAGGATGATCGACTCAGGCCAGGACATGTAGCACGCATGACAACTATTAAAAACTAAAAAAAAACTGTAGTTGGAAAATATATGACGAGAAAGATTCAGGGTACAAGAGTTTCTGCTTATCACGAAATACACAATGCGGTCCAGAGTTCAAACTGGCCGACTTTTCACAGGCCCTTACTGCTTTCATCAGGGCGAGGATAGTTTTATTGCGTTTTCTGTCTGAAAGTATAAACAGTTGTCACTTTATTTAGAGTATTAGGGACATTTTAACGTACGTGCCTCACTGCCTCAAGGAGATTTATCTACAAAGTGCACTCTTTCGAAACCTCGTTTTAAAACTGTCTAGTTCGATGTCCAAGAAGGTGAGTAATTCAAAAGACAACAGAACAGTAAACGCTAACGGTGAGGCATCTGAGAAAATAAAAACAAAGTTACCAAACAAGAGGATGAATAAAAATGTGCCCTTAGCAACGTTCAACAGGTGGGGAGAATTTGTGGTAAAGCACAGACGAGAAGCAATGGTCTGGCCCCCGAGCTCATGCGAACAAATCACTAGATTCGTCTTTTAAACGACAAGATCTACGAACATGAACGAGCACATAATGAACAGACTTAGGCATAGATGAATTATAATATTTTGCTACAAATTTCACGAAAACAGAGTGTCATAATGAGGACTGGATTGTCGTTAATTTGGCGAGTCTGTTTTCCTGCATTCTCTTAAAATTCAAAGTACATTTATTTCTGCAGTTGAACCCTGAACCCTGTTTTACGAAAATACGTTCCTTGGTCCCTTCTGCAGTCTTTCCGTGTATATTTTGCGGTCTGGTTCAAAAATTTCGCCTTATGAGCTATAATTTTCGGTTTCCCTTTCCCTCAGATATCAGTTCAGAGATTTAACAACGCATTAGGACAACAAATTATAATTCTGACATCTCGTTTACTCAGCCACCCCGATTAACATGACGTAAGGCTTACCAGTAAATTGAGGATCGGATTTGACACTAAATTTGTATGTTAAACACTAAAAATCTAGTTTCAATGATTTCTTTTTTCAGTTCTACTTATTTTATTGAATAGGAATCATCAGGTTAGTATTCTTTCTGTATAATAAAGTCGAATACGCCATTACGAAGGTCTCAAGACTCATCAATTTCTGGACTATGATGATCTTAGACTATTGAGGAAATACAATATCATAAAAAATACGAAATATATGTTAAATGCTACTAAGCAAGTCGGTCTAAGAGTAAACGCACAGAAAATTAAGTAAGCTCAGAGGCCTGTGTTCATGTCTCGTCACCAGAAGCAGGCAACACTGTGGAAAAATGTAAGTTGTACCTTACTTACCGACAGAAGAGTAAAATTTCAAAGCTCCAAACAAAACACACAGGAAGGACAGAAATACAATTTTTAGTTCGTTTAATCGATATCTGACACACGCGGCATAGAAATCAAGTTTGGACAATCTTAGTTATCTTATCAGAAACTATAATTACACAGCACTCGAAACGTCAAACGTAATTCAAATACAGAAAGCTGTGTCAAATCATTTCTGCTTCTAGACAGTAATTCTGTCCATAGAGACAGCAAAGTGATTTAACGAGGCAAGGGACCCACGAATAAAAAGAAATCAAGAAGTAATCAGTGGCGGTTACCTCCCCGGGATTAACACAAAGATAGGATGGAGGGCGAGGCCAAGTCACGTATGCGAATAACCTAGTGGCGTACTGGCTACAATTAAGCACAAACTCGAATAAAACAATGTGGGCTACGCGACACAGAGAGTTATATTAATGACTATTTCCGTGTACAGAACGAGTTTTGACGTATACTAATTACGTGTCAAATGTGGCCACCGTCCCAACAGTATAACCACCGCTTATACGGCGCGATATAAGAAAAAACCCCGACTGGACAACCCACCACAATGGTCTTCTCGCTTTTCAAGCAAATCCGATACTCAAGTGTCCTCCCGTCCAACGCGTATCCGAATTCTGACGCCGGGGGTAAGGCGGATGGAGCATGAAACTGACCAATAACGAGGTCAAGGTCACATCTGCACGCCTCCCTTACCCTTGAGTGGGAGCAGACTGATAACAAACACAACGTGTCCCTTATTCGATAACACATTTTGTGCAAACAACGAAAAAAATAACACAATTTTAAGATGACATGACGCTAGAAGGAAGTGGTCATTTTCACAGCCTTCGTACTCTTGTACCCGGAGGAGACAGCCTTTCTCGAGAAAAGAGACCATTTGGGAAAACCAAGACGTAGATGGGAGGGCAATATTAAAATGGATCTTAAAGTGAGCGACAACATATACGCCACTGATGCCGTAAGGTACACAGATGGATTGGATGCTGTTGTCTTTTTTAAAACAACTTTTCTGAGGCATTTCTCCGGAGGTGGTCGTCGACTTTGGTGAAGGTCACAGACGTACAATAGGCACCACGATACAGTGCGGTACAGCACGCGGGCCAAGGGAAAATCTTCCGTGTTTGCACTGTTTGACGAATTCAGGCACAGGCCGTTATTTAAAACGTTAATATTAAAAACGTCTGCGTGACAAAAGAAATCTGGAGAAATAAACAAAAATTTTATGTGGAATAATTTACAAAGACTTCAGTAGGTAATGTAGAGGAGTGTTCTTTGTAGTTTAAGACGTTAAATTCTTAGTTGGAACAGGCCATGGGGCATGTACGTAGAAGCTGAGTAATTCATGCCTGATGAGGTAAATTAGTTTATCACGATGTTACAGAATGCGCGTAACAAATTGTGTCTTTGTGCAAGTCGCCGCCGCCTAACAAAGCACGACAGACATTGAAAGGAAGATAATAAAAATCTGATTCATTCATCTATTTATGTCTGTTGTTGAGAAGTTGATACAAATCACGCCGATTCGCGTAAGCACTTGATTTAATAACAATTACGTAAAGTTAAATGTGAATTAAATTAATCTAATCTTATGTTTGTTCCTTTTATTCAGTCTACTTCAGCAAATCTAAAAATGTTCCAGACAACATTTGTAAATTTCAGTGAGGAAAACACAATCACCATTACGCACATTTTCCAGTAATGCCAACCATTTCCGGGAAATTGTAAGGTCTGATTTGAAAGGCCTCTTAAAACAATTTGTGACATGTACAATAAAGAAGACTGTCTTCTGGGATACTGCGCCGTCTAGTGTGGTAAAAGTTTACCGACGTTTCAGAGGTGTATACTGCCTTTAACATAGCCCTGATGATGGAACCATTAAGTTAGTATACAAGTATCTACAAAAAGACTATGGACATGTAACGTTTAGACGTCACGATTTTGGAAAATGTTGAGTTCGTGCAGGAAAATACAGTAAGGCTCACTCAAAAAAGGGTAAATTTCCCTTTTCTCCACTAAACCACGCAAACGACAAAATACGCTACGGCATCGAAATTTCTTACAACAGGAAATACAAACATGGCGCGTATACTGTATGCATACAGACAGGAAGCTCAATCAGCAAGATTCACGCCTGTATCCGGTCAATAGAGATTACTGTTATGCATTTCCTAGGCTCCTTGTCTATCACAAAGAATGCCTGCTTTCATAAGACGTCCAATTTCACCATACTGTCTCTTATACATGACGAATAAAATGCTGAGACCGGCAATAAACTGTTCATCCTACTTCAATTATCATTAAATTACCATTACCGAAACACTTAAAGTTTCTTGTTTTATATTATAGCCTAGCCCGAGTTGATCAAGTGTTTTGGCAACTACGTATGCAGTACACATCATACATGAAGCAGACTCACGAGTCACAACACGACACACCCTCCTGATTTTGGGTCTCACGGGATAATATGTTTACTACTTTACATTATAATCTAACCCTTAACCAGCCATATAATATCAAAGAGGTTACCTGAGGCTGTAGTTGACCACTGGCACATGTTAACAACAGTCTTGCTAACAAATCTTCGCATTGAATGCAACAGGAACACATTTGGAAAACAGGAAAGCATTTACGCAACATTTCCGTCACAACAGAACACAATAACCACATTGCAGAACAAATAATAAAGGCATAACTTGCAGTTTAAACTCAATACCACCGCGTCCTAACTTTACTTCGGCCATCTGTGACATTTCATTTGTTTTTCACTGATAACTCAACCACACATGGACTGGGTATCGGAGATCCGCTCAATTGAAGCTACAATTAATATTTTAGACACGTATTCATAATAAAAGATAGTTTCCATTACACGGTACGAGATATAATTAAAAAAATTACTATAATTACCTATTATTTCTAAACCATTATAATAGGATACCACTAGCAGAGATTTTACAAATGGAAAGATTCCTGTTGTCAACGATAAGTTCAATGGACTAGATTTCTTGATTTTGAAAGACGAAGGAGAATACAAAAGATATATACCGCAAGGTTGTGACTGAAAGGCACTGCACAAACAAATAAAACAGGTTCTGGCAATACAATGCATGAATCATAATCATCTTACATTTTTTGTAGGGCTAAAAAAGAACTTCTGAAGGAAAAGATATACCTGTACGTTAATACTCTGAACAAATGGAAATAAAAGGTCCCTTGACAAAAATGAAGTTATCACTGATCCTATACCAACAATTTTTGATTGGGCATCCCAACCGAATACAAACGTCCATAGGAGGATACTCAAATGCGATGTTTTTGTGGCACAGACAATTTTTCTGAAGAGGAAACATTGTCCATTTCATGTCATATCCACTTTCATATTTATGAGGTATACCATGAATGAGATGTTAAAAGTATAAGATGACAGTTTTGAAATGTAATACCCAACAGTCTGCAAGATGATATTCGGTGTTGGTCATAATGCAAAATATTCACCTAACCATACAAAATTTTATTCATGGCCAAAATATAAAAAACTTCACTAACCTTTTGTGACTACAATCATTTGTGAATGCTTGTCCTTGTCGTAACTTACAAACCTGTCATTTTAGTTTCAAAATAAACTTTGTATTAAATGCCCAGTTTAGAAATATCAGTATGCCACTTTCATAAATTAACCTTTTCCAGTAATTACGACAGCCGATCGTACGAAATTCTCAGATTTTAGTAACAAAAACCTAATTCTGGGATGATGTCATCTTTCCAGAACGTAAAACAACATGGTGTTCAGACGGGTTGTCTATATCTGGCACAAACTAATGCAATATTAAATCTAGGAATGAAAAGTTTTGTATAAAAGAATATCATAAACTTACCTACAAATCATGTGTAAAGTTTGGGGTTTTACTTAAAAAATTTAACCTAGTTGCAAGTATGCCAGTGAACAATTTTAAAGAAATAGATAATGTAATTACAAAATTATTAATTCTGGTGATCCACAAGTAACAGGGCCTGAACACACAGAGGTGCAAATTTATTGTCAGGAAATAAAAACCTGCATGGACTGTGCCCCCCCCTCCCCAAAAAATTACAAAATATGGAAACATTGCTAAAAGACACTCCAACGCAGTTGCTATTGTAACTGCGATCTGCGATGTAGATGTTATGCTTCACTCTTCATTGCATCCTGTTTCACCCAATTCACAAGACCTGAATTTTGCAAAATTTACAGAACATTTATTCTAAACACAATTAAGGAAAATTTACACAATCTCTCATATTTTAATTTGGGAAATTATATATTCACATTGTCTTCGTACAATTATTCTTCAGAAGTTGCAAAGTTATAGAGCTGCTTTATGTTTTTAATTCGAGGAGTTCTTACTAGAGAAATGTTAGAACAATTTTTAAAAGCAAAAGGCATCCTATAACAGACACCATACACTGAATATATCTTCTTAAAAATCAAGAGGTATATTAGCTGTGATCAACCTGCAAGAGTGAATATTTCAAAACTCTTCACAAATGTTTATATACAAAACAATTAATACAATCATTCCTCCTATCGCTAAAAACCTGCAGACAAACTAACATAGTAGTTACATTACAGAACATATACATCACCATTTGGTTCTGAAGAAAACTGGGAGCAAGTGGTTACAATATTCCATGCAAAGGTCAGTACACGTTCACGGTATCTACTACTATATAAAATCCGCAGAAACACTACCACATGAAGTAAGGGACCGTCTGGATTACTCTTAGTATAAAAATATCCAAATATTCAAAATCATTAAAGCCTACGCAAAAAAATTTCAACATATGGATTAAGTCCATCACATAATATAGGTACGAGAATATTTTTTAAATTTTTTTTTACAGACCATAAAATATCTGCTTTGAAAAAACCAGTTCCACACGAATGAAAAAAAAAAGTATACAGAACACTTTATTCCCCGTAAAAGTGCCACAAATGCCTTACTCCACATGGTGTGCTCTTTGTGCAATCTCTGACGTTCCTGACACGGCTCAACCTCGTCGTCATGAAAACTAAACGTCACAAAGAAGCAATCAAATTGGTACACTTGCAACACAGCAGTGTGTGCGCACATATTCAATAAACATAAATGTAAAACATTACTGACAGAACCAAATGCAATTATAATACATTACAATTTTAAGTAAAGATCAACAAATTTACAAATGAGCTTCTTTACCCTTAAGGCTGGGGCCACACGACCGTACATATAGGGTACAACACACGAAGCACGTGCGCGTGCTTCGTGTGTTGTATGCCCCTTCATAATTCTATGACGGACGTCACGATGTGCGTTACAACGGACGTACTTTGTACGGTCGTGTGGCCCCAGCGTAACAGCTCCTTGCAGAAAGAAATTATTTCAAACTGAAATCTCTTTATGGCCTTCACCAGTCTCTCCCACACGTACGATGAAAGACGTCGGTCATTGGATCACAACACGTGGTCACGCACAGCCGTGCACAGCTCTTGTCCTCAACAGGTGCACACTTCAATGGTGACGGTGGTTGTTATGTGGTGTGGTGGTGGTGGTGGTAGTACAGTTTTCATCTCAGTTCTTCAGTACGGCAACAGTGCGCTGTCTAGGCATAAAACTAACCATGCACTGAGACACGTGTCACACTGTACCTACAGACTCAATCTTGTGACAATTATTTATATAATAATTATTAACATTCTTATTAATGTTATTTATTACATTATCATTATTATTGACTTGGCACAAGTGAAACTTATTTATTAAAAAAGCTAGCTACTTGTGTTTCAAAAATTGTGACAAATCCTCCCTCCTTACCCCGGTTCACCGCAGTCTAACACGTGAGGAACGTAGCAGGGGTCTTTCTGTCACACCAATAACATTTTTGAAACTATTAACACAGACTAGAAAAGAAGTGTTCATATGAAGGGGCAGCTAAAGCATTAATAAAATTAACTGATGAATTCGATTAATAAAAATATTGCACTAAGAGTCAGAGCTAGGAAAGATGTCCATATTTAAAGAAAATGACAGAATTCATCAATTAAACAAAACCAGTGACAGTGCGATGTTTATAAAAAAAATCAACAACATGAAACTGATGATGAAAGCACGTTTATACCTTTTTTTAAAACTTGTGCGGCTTTATATCGGCTCCTTTGCTGTTTGTTCGTGGCTATAATAAAAGAAGTGAAGCACCAGATGTTTTTGTAATAAAGACAAACGGCAGAGTCTTACGGCAGTACATAAAATGGACTTACGTTACTGTAACATGTCTGTGAATATCCCATCTGGCAGTTTGTATCTACTATTAAAGATATTCTTAAAACATTTTATACGTTATCTAATGAATACGATTATATTTGTGCCGATTCAGCAGCAGTTTCAACAGCATAAATTAAGAAAATTCATCAACTTCTCTTCCTTGAAAGAATAACTTGAGATGCTGAAGATCCATTGTGATGGTGCATATTTCATGTATATGGTTATTGCGGAACGTTAATTCTAAACCAATGCAACTGCATCGCAAAACCCGATTCAAATAAAAACAATTAATAACCTGACAACATTCACGCAAAAAACAGCGACATACCGCAATGCCATACAGATACCGTTCTACAGATGCAAATGTGACAAATTCCTTCACGTCAATAACACGTTCATTATTCTCTACTAGTTTGCGATCAACTTATTATATTATCACTAGTCAAACGCACGTTTCGTCATGCTATGTAAATGTTCATTTCTCAAACAAACGCTAGAAGTTCGGGGGCAAAAGCCTACCCATTCGCCGACTAGCTAGTCGAGATGACCTTTCCAATCTGTTTCCATGGCCACATACAAACCTAATTCCAGGTGACTGTCCAGCGAATGGAATCTCATTACACTACACGCTCTGCGCAACTTTATTTCAGTAAAACACATAACAAATGCAACATATCTTACTCCTGACTTTAAAATGCAATAGGCCATCTGGTCAACGTGTATCCCTTACCTTATCATCATTTATCTTATTAAACTCCCTGTGTTCTGTACCTGGTTATTTCACCAGCAAGTGATAGGCCAAGTTGGTAACACTGACTGCAATGCAACAATGCAGACTGGCTGAATAATATCAACAATTCCAACCTGCGGTCAGGAACCAGGTGTTACTGGATGTGCCATGCACCAACGGCAAGTTGGAACTACTGTTAATACGCTCTCCATCCTCAGTCCCGGTCTCACATGTTGTAGGCGACATAGATAGGATCCAGCTGGTCCGCCAGGAAGCCGTCACGAAGATGCATGCGCTGCTTCTCACCACGCGAGTTGATAGGCACTACTCCTGGGTCGACGACGACAACTACGCCCACTATCAGGTGATGTTCCTCAAGAACTGTGTTGGTGACGAGCGGAACTAGATCCAGTGCTTCATTCTCATTGCCATCTAATTCTACGACGACGACGAGCAGGTTTGTCCAGGTGAAAACAGCACTGGAAGACATAAATTACGAGGAATTTTTAATACCACTGTGTACCATCATTAGTAAAATGTATCCTGTCTCTTGCCGACTCTGGGTCTTCTACCATATACCCATATGCCATAACTGAGGAATGAGGTTATGATAATATGTTGCTTGGTTAGGGCTATTGCACACCCCATGGGGCAGTGATGTATCAGTATGGAGCAATGGCGTAATGATCTGTGGCGGAAAATGAAGAACTCAGAAAAGAACCTGATTCAGTGCCACTTTATCCACCATAAATTTTACTTGAAATCACCCAGGACCGAATATGGGTCTCTGGAGTGACAAGCCAGCATCTAGACACCTGAGCTATGACATGGCGTAAATGAAGGTAAAGACAATAAAGAATAATTAATATTCTGTGTATAATGTAATACTTTTAAGTTGATTAGCTTTGAAATTACAGATCTGTCTGCTATAAATTAAAATCATTGTCAATATACTGCACAAACGCATTTAAAAAACAGGTTTCACTACACTGGTATATATTTTCTGAATTGTGCTTTTACTCTGACAAACATCACTCACCATTCAGCAATCTTCTTATGACAACGCATAACGCTATTCTCAATGTCAATAGGATGGTAACGCATGCCTCGCAACATCACAGTCTCATCTAGTGCACCCACCACAAACACAGCATCGTGCAGCTCTGTAACATACAGAGAAATCGTTACAAACTAATGCCAACATTTGAAAACAGTTAATTATAATACATCATGACAACTCTTTGAAGCTGTACCTAATCTAAATACTGGGATACTGGGAACGACCTGTCCTTCAAGTGCCTGAGCACTGCGGGTCCCAAATTTTCGTTGGCTTGATCTATAGATATTCGGTAAGACTCCTTGGATGAGGGATCAGCCCGTCGCAAGGCCTCTACCTGTACGCAGGACAGCACAACACAGAAAAACATCCATGGCTTGAGTGGGATTCGAACCCACGGTTCCAGCGACCAAGCGGCACAAGGCCCACGCCTCAGACCAGCCACTGCGGACCCCCATATCACTAAATACTACTTTAATATTCAGTTCCTACTGTAACGAAAACATGGCACTTCTCTATTATGTAGGTGAATTGGTTGATGCTGTTTAAGTAAATAATAGCTGTTTACTTTAAGAATAATACAAAACATATAAATACAATCTGTTGGCAAAATTCTAGATGCCATGATGTCACACTGATGTTTATTATGCTAAAGGATATTGGTCATCCACTCTGCCTGTTTCAAGTACTGAAAATCTAGAGGTAATAAATAACACAGCAAACACGACAGAACTGTTACGCTATCCACGAAATGTAATTTGTAAATTCACGGATTTTAGTATCACAGACGCAAGACGTTGAATACTAATAAAAACTAATTCCGGCTGAAACACGTAGTCTTGCTGTAGGAACAGACACCAACCTATAACTTTCATATATCTTTCCATTATTTGTCTCTAGAATAATAACTCCACAAACCATCTCACTTCCTTTTCATTCCTATCTTAGAAGCTGCTCGACTATAATTAACTGGTTTCAGCAAAAACATTTTAATATTTCATTATTCAATACGCATGTTACAATACAATGTTATAATTCTTTTATGCTGTATAAAAATGGGTTTCTGCTTCTGCAGAGATAAAGATGGCTTACCTGTCCTTCAGCAAGCAGCACCATGACGTAAAGCACATACATAAATATGTTACAGAAACGCAATAAGGGAACAAAGCAGAGACAGACACAAATAAAACATAAGAGCTGCAGTATCAGAAATCAACATATAATGCTGGATCCGCAAGAAGATATTCAAAATAAATAAAGAAACTTAACATGTTGCAGGACCTCTCATTTACACCGATCAATTTTTCTTGTTCTTCTTTTTCCGGTTTAACACTGTTTTATCCGGTACCCTTTTACGGGTCCCCAACTTTTTAGTTGGCTTGATCTATGGACATTCGGTAGGACTCCTTGGACGAGGGATCGACCCGTCGCAAGGCCTCTACCTGTACACAGGACAGGACAGCACAACACCGAAAAACATCCATGGCTTGAGTGGGATTCGAACCCACGGTCCTAGCGACGAAGCGGCACAAGGACCAATCAATTGTTTTGGCTGCAAAATATGCATCTCAACTATAATTTAGTAAACCTGCCAACCGATCCAAACCCCGAAGCTCGTAATTATTATAATGTGTCTTAAAAATATATGACACGTGAGATTTTAATCAAAAAGTAGTTTGCAACGTAATGTTTTACAAGCCAGTGGGAAAATTTCGCTCTTTAATTAGACTGTGGCATAATTTTATCAAAAATATGTTAATAAAACTGAGGCTTGGTACTTGGACACAAAAACCAAGCCACTGAGTGTAAATGGGTGTCATTTGTAAAAGCATGTAACAGAAGTACCAACCAGTACCCCCAGACATTCACAAAATATACAGTGGAATGTACAAATGTGGTGGAACACCGTATTGTAGGCATATAAAAGTCTAAGGCTGGGGCGACACGACCTTACAAAGTATGTCCGTTGTAATGCACATCGGGACGTCCATCATAGAATTATGAAGGGGCATACAACACACAAAGCATGCGTGCTTCATGTGTTGTACCCTATATGCCCCTTCATAATTCTATGACGGACGTCACGATGTGCGTTACAACGGACGTACTTTGTACGGTCGTGTCGTCCCAGCCTTAAGGTCCACAAAAGTTGATATAAACAGTAAGTTTTTCTGTTTCTTTCGGAAGGTAATGTATGTATTTCCAGTTGATTCAATGACTACAACAAATATTAATTATAACGACATTCTTTCCAAACATTGCGAACTCATGTTATAATGATCTTGTACCGTAAATTAAATATACATACATCATAAAAATTTCTATAATTCATCTACAGTTCTAATGAAAAATTTAAACGTTAAAATTGGGTAGCAAATTCCAAAATTGGTCCTTTTTGACAATACTGCTTAAATTTTGCTGCAACAGTGCTTATGATTTCATTTTTCTTATTTAAATAAGAAACTGGAAGGAAAGGAAAGATGTCAACAGGTGAAGATACGTGCAAAAAAATGCAGTGAATGTCTGTGTAGGGGACGGTTGGCAGTGTGAGTGCAGTGCTAAGAAGCCAGTGGGCTGCCAGACCTGATGTGGCCGAGGCAGCAGTAGCGGCAGCGTGGCAGTGCGCGAGGCCAGGAGTGTCATCCTCCTCACCTCCACTTGCAGCATCACCCTGCGGCTGACCGATAGCCGTCATGGAACCGCCGAGCAACGTCGTCGTGCCAGACAGCTGAGCTCCACCTTGCTGCTGTGCACACTCCGTTCGTCGCAAGAATCCCAAGTAGCCTGTCCGTGCATACACTTCACCCGTATTTCCAGTCACTAAGCTTGCGCTGAAGTGATCTGCATAGTCACTCTCATCACCGTAGATAGTGAAGTAACCACTTGCATTATGACTTGACTGCACCCATATCTGTAATGGAAAAATGTACATAATTGTTTCCGTAGTGGGTGGAGTAAAGAGAAAAACAACACATAGCCGCAAAGTTGTAAAGTTGTGTGATGCTTAGCTAAGCACCACGCAACCTTACAATTACCTTTACCTGTTCTGTCATCTGTGATATGAAATAAGTGGATGGGCAATGAACATATAATGAAACGAGGTGCGTGAGTTCGTACCTCTCCAAGATGCGAGTCTCCACACTGGCCTTTGGTCTCAGGGTTGGCAATGATGACCTTAACTCCAGGCAGAAGCTTCCCAGATTCCATGAGGCAGAGAGAATGTGGACTACCTCTTTCCACCAAAGACACGCGGTCATTCCGCAATGCCCGTAGGTCTACGTATACTATTGATGGCTCAGGGCTTGATGCTCCCTAAAACACAATCATGTCATGTGATTACATTTTTAACTAATTAAACAATTTTGAAGTAAACGACTAAAAAGGATAATAAAAGTTCTACATCTATGGCCAATACATCAACTTTTCTAACTTTCGTCTGTTAACATTTCATACCTTCAAATACCTGTAATGTCACCAAAATGAGCGAATGGCCTAAAGCTGTCACGTACATCCATGGGTTAACACGGTTTAACCATTTTCTCTGTAGTCATCAAATCTCCCATTTACTAAATAAATATTTAAAATTATATAAATTTTTAAGTCTGCCAAATTTCATACATACCGCTTGAATTTTACACCCTTAAAATATTTATTAAAACAATACTAGTAATATTAACTCTTCTTAGCAAAACTGTGAGACAAATTTTTATAAAATTGTCTGCTTTTACTGTAGGTAATGTATTTGGGGGGAGGGGGGGGCAGTAATAGAACCACTATCCATACACTATTCTGAACTGTTAGTTGTTAAGACTGGTCAAAAACAAAATTCTGCAAAATTGCGAAGTAACGTAAGATCACAAGACTAACCTGTAGACATATCGCAACATTTACACGACAACCAAAGCTGGTGGACACAGCCCTTGGACTAAGCCCCAATGCAGAGAAGAGCTTAGAGAAGCTAGTTGTGAGCGTGATACGTGGTCGCTCCTCTGCTACAACTACACATGTTCGTACACAGCCCAGATTCACACCTCTCTGCTTCAACTGATTTACTGACGAACCTAGACCTTTTGTGCATAACTCCATTACACCTGCAATGATAAGAAAACCTTATTATATTCAATATATACGGTAAATATTGTCACTTACTTCTCTAAGATACGTAAGCAAATTATGAACAGTGGAGATGAACATCAACATCTTCACCAGCATGAAAATATCAGATCGCTGACAACAACATTCTCTTAAATGTATACGAGAACAGTTCAAACACTCACCATAAGAACAGAACGTATCTCTAACCCTATACTGGCTAACAGCAGTCAACCATAGTGCTGGGTTCACCTCCACTTCCGAAGGAGGAATTAGAATGGAATGATGACCAGAGTAGATGCTGCAAATGAAGTCAAAAATCATCATTAAAAATCAGAGTCTTCAGAGACTTAAACTTAGACGAGCTCCACCATCAACGACGCACAGAGTTTAAAAACAAAAACAAGTGCGTGGCAAGGATATATTGAATTAATTAAATCTTCCTGGGGCACCAGCCATGTCAGCTGGTTAAAAATCAACATTTCAGGGACCAACTCATTCCCCATCAGGATTATGACGTAACAGTTCATTCAGACAGTCCCACATGTTTATCTGTTACATCATAATCACAACGATAGTGACACAGGTGGTTCCTGAAATGTCAATTTTTAACCAACTGATACAGCAGACAGCTCAGGAAGATTTTATTATATCAGTCGCTATAATAGCTTCAGATTGTATGAAAAGGTGCTTTAAACAATTTAACGTGGTAGAAACAGTAAAAATTCCTCAGTATAAACTGCTGTTAACCTTAAATCAAGGTCCTTAAAACGAGACACATTAAAAATGTATAAAACTTCTTTTTCTTCTTGCCACAGACACATTTTAAAAATCATCAAAGAGCGAATCCAAGAAGTTTATAGACATGAAAGTAAAAGGAAACTGCCTAAAAGATTAAGATCAACATAGGAACAACATGGAAAGAAACTCAGGAGGATCTGTAGGAAGAGACAGACAGATGACTCATAAAAAAAGAGAAATGTGTAAATATTTCATTAATATTCAAAAGTAAAGGAAGAGCTGTACTCACCTACTCAAGCACCAGAGCGCAAAGCCAAGGCCACAGTAAGGATCTAAGCAGAGGGCGATGTGTCGTGAGGGGTAGAGCTCGCAGGCCAGCTTCATGGATCTACATAGCGATGTTACTGCAGCATGGGACATTTTGATGCCTGCCAACATCCCTGTAGTTGACACACTACACACAAGCCATGACTTTAGCCACTACGCGACAGCCAACATACATTTACATTCCTACTTTATGAAATTCTACCATCTTTTCATAAAACGCTAAATACAACACAATTTCATACGGAAGTATACGTTTGTAGTATCATAGTCTTACGGTATTACTCAGATTTTCATAAAGCTTGGTATGAACACCATGCTATGTAATCTTCTTCTTTTTTCCGGTTTAACAATGTTTGTACATTTTCTCGTACCCTTTACGGGTCCCCAACTTTTCAGTTGGCTTGATCTATGGACATTCGGTAGGACTCCTCGGACGAGGGATCGGCCCGTCGCAAGGCCTCTACCTGTACACAGGACAACACAACACAGAAGAACATCCATGGCTTGAGTGGGATTCGAACCCACGGTCCCTGCGACCAAGCGGCACAAGGTCTGCGCCTCAGACCACGCGGAGCCCCATGCTAAGTAATAAAGGCACAATTCAGTAGTTTAATTTCCTAAAATCAATAATATCAACATGGCGGCCATCCAAACTTCTCACAAAGGAATAATACCAGAACCAATGCTACCATATTAATGTTGGTTGATAACATTTTGTGTGGTAGTAGATCATAAAATATATGCCAATAGTATGATTCTTTCTGTAGAAAATAAAAAAAGGGGGGGGGGGAACCTACATTTAGCTTACACTCTGATGGGAACAACTAACAAACATTTTAGGCAGTATATGTTAAATTCTGTAAGGCAATTAAATGTACTAAAAACTCTACATAAAACCCTTTTCTACATATCATGTTATGAATAAAAAATAAGGCAGCAATATTTAACATTGAAATTACTAGCTGCTGACAAGAAGCTTTTATAAAAGTAAATCTGTAAAATGTCTGTATTAATTTAATCGATGATGAAAAACTAAAAAGTTCTCAAAGGTATCATTTAAAGAACATATCAAAAGTAGGTGTACCATAATCTTCAGCTGAATGCTACCCTAATACCCACCTGAAGTCAAGGTACGCCAGCATTTCAGCTGTGGGTGCTCTGTACGTCACTGGCAGCTTTTTTTTGGGCATGTCGTCAGTATCTAGAGTGACGGGCCATGACTTGATGTCCACAACATTGCTTGCCTCCTGCAAATATCGAGATACGTTACTAAGCTCAGCTACACGAAGCAAGTGTCACACTGGCAAATAAACAAGTTAGAAAATTTAAAGAGTGTAAATATTGATGTATCCGCCAGAATATGGCCTTGGACAATTTTGAATATCCAGGATATTCCATCTGTGGATTTACCATGCAGGAATTCCCACCTCAGTCACTTTGGAGTACAGAAATATATATATATGTCTTCTCATAAAGGATCCAATACTTCCGTCTGATTTTGACCAAAATTGGAATGTGTTGCCAGTTTTAGTAAAAATACTCAATATAAAATTTCTTAAAATCTGTTCAGATGTTCTGACGCTCAGTAATTGGTGTGGAAAGGCAATGTTCACTTGTAGAAACCAGGAAACACATCGATATTACTTATTTAACAATACCTTGGACTTGAGCAACTTCATGACATTCTGGTTGGAAAGAACAAGTACGGATTTGCTAACGTCGACAATCATTCGCACTGTTGGCAGTGTCGTCTGCAGGTTCTGTGGATGTGGTGGCCGGATTGTTACTGGTACTGCACCTATAACATAAGGTATTCGTTGTGAAAAATGCTATCCAGATGTGTATAGAATTTCAAAGTAAAAATTTTAATAAGCAGTTTTCCATTCAGTTCTTTTATTTCCTGACTATCTCTCACATGAACTTACCAACATACAGGCAGCCATAGAAAGCACATATGAGATCAATGCCTGGTGGAAATATGAGTGCAACATGGTCTCCTGTATTGATCTTCCCCTTCTCCAAAAGAAGATTTCCAACGCGTTCAGCCTTTTTGTGTAATTGTGAACACGACAATGTTGTTGCAACAGCACCTTTAGAGTTGAGCAGTGTGAAGATTACGTGGTCCGCTGTGCTCTGAGCTCGCCATTTCAAGATCTCAGAGATGAACTGATACTGCAAGCAATACCAAAGTCAAACTACAAACTTCTATAAAAATGTGAAGTGACGTAACTGAACATAAATTTATTTTATTATTTTGTGCTATTTATTTTCTTTTCTGTCCCCATTATTCCATGGTTGTGACCAAAAAGGGAATATCAAGAAGAAGAAGTATGAAAAATTATAGCTATGCTAACATAAATAAACAAACACCTTTTCCCCCCACAAGCAGCACGAGTAAGGAAGTTTAGCAAAAACATCTCGTATCACCCATCACCATTTTAATAGCAAGATTTTGCTTTCCTTTTTCCCCAGAACAATAAAAAAGGAAATCGTAACTTTCTGTCTCACCTTGCGAGCAGAGTCAGACTCCTCATCCACAATGCCCATATCCCTGCCTTGCGCAGAAGCGAGGCGATTACCCTGAACTATGTTGCCCACCATGACAGAGGCAGGGCCAACGTCTGTAACAAAGTCAGCAGCTAGGAAGCCACATTACAAAAAAATGCTGTTGTAGCACATTTCAAAACTGAAAGAAGCACACACAATACAACAGTCCATTCATATTGTCAATTTATTTCTCACATGGTTGTCATTTCTGGGAAATATGCCATGTTTATAAAAATGCAGGCATGTGAGAAATTATTAAGAATTATGAATGGGCAACATGGATACAAAAGTTCAAACTGTGCAAACGCCATCAAAATTGAAATGTTTAAATTACTATATACAAAACCTCACAAGTTATGTAAATAATATCCCTTTCTTAGGAAATGTGAATATAATCTTATAAGTATTTTAAACGCAGAAATGTACATAATTTCAGTGACTCAACCAATTCAAACATGGCAGACCTCTCGAATACAAGTTAGAATTGATATAAACTGAACAAATCTAATCAGTGACAAGGAGAAATCAAGAAATATGTGAATAATGTATGCATACTGACTGGAATGTGACTGTTCATGCCATAATATTAACTGCACAGTTATAAATTTTCATAAAACAAATTTATGTACAAACTACACAACACAGCTACAGATTAACCAGTTGATATCTGTACCGATAGAGTTACCAATGATAATAACTACCACAATAACTATACAGAAGACATAAAATGCAGAACTGGTCTTCAACTCTTTAAGAATTTACTTGATACTTTTACACAAGCAAAAACAATTACAAAACTACAAACATTATTTACATCTGATAATTGGGAATGAAAATAATAAATTATTTAATGGATAAATATTTACAATTCTGGAAGTTAAATTAACTTCACTGGATAGATATATTATTAAATACACGTGAGACTAATAAGTGTGTATGATAGAATGTTTAAATAATAATAATAAATTTAATAAAAGGCGTGTCTTCATAAATTTTATTCTCCACCACACAAAGGACTTCTGCGCTCTCTCAGCTAAGAAACAATCGATACGAACAGCAAAACACAATTTCTCTACTTCTACATACATCTCTTCACTGTGAAAGTAGAACAAAATTTATGATATCTTCCATCAGTGTTACTATGACATTAACTCTGTTACATTCTCTCTCTCCTTTCCAAAATTAGCAAGTGTTTCATATTTTTTTGAAAATACATGGAAACTAGTTAGCGAAGTAACTGTATCTGATAAGCCAAAAAGGTTCACAACTGCTACTATTGGAAGAGCAAGATACGCTGGCATTAACAAAACATCATCCAGTACGGTATTGGTACTGGTAACAGGCCACTAAACTAATACAGTGAGTCAAGTCCTTTTGATTACCGACTGCACTGTATAAATACATTTTAGAAACAAAACCATGCTAATAGCACAGAGCTGTGTCTTAGAACATGTGTCTGGCAGAGCAGCGAGCGAAGTGTCAAGCAGCTAATCAAGAAGAAAAATACCCATTTAGACGACGCATTTGCATCAAGAAAAGTTGTGCTCGTGTGTCTTATTGGTACATTACAAACATTAAAATAAACAGTATGAGGTTTCATTAGCTGCCATGCAGGGGTTGAAAATTTCAATAGCACGGACATGATTTTCTTATCTTTTGTATCTGTAGGTCAGCGTCTATCTTGAGTGAGTGCAAATTATTAATAGGATCGATCAATAATTAAATCTCTACCGCAGGTAGAAAGCGCTGAGTCAAGCAAAAGAAACAGATTGATTTTATTTCAGTATGATCTGCCACTCGTTAACACTCACTATATTTGTTAAGACACTTCTAACACTCTTTGATTTTGCAGCGTTGTTTGTGTCTCTGTTTCACTATGTACGCACACATAGGAATTCAGAGTTGTTCTGTTTCAACAGGATTTAAACTCAAACGAGACTATACTGCACTCCAGGTTACTCTGCGCAATTACAAATACTTCACAACTTTCCATTAGTGAGGTGATGCTATCTCTGGTTATCACCGTGATGATGATTTGATCTGAAATTGTTCCAACACGGCGGTCTTTAGTGAAGTATGAGAAGAATATTAATTTTTACTTATATACTGCATATTCTACTGGAAATAAGATATTAATTTCACTAAATTCTTCTTCTGCCTTCTTCTTTTTCCGGTTTAACAATGTTTGTACATTTTCCGGTACCCTTTATGGGTCCCCAACTTTTCAGTTAGCTTTGAACTATCAGACATTCGGTAGGACTCCTTGGACGAGGGATCGGCCCATCGCAAGGCCTCTACCTGTACGCAGGACAGCACAACACAGAAAAACATCCATGGCTTGAGTGGGATTCGAACCCACGGTCCCTGCGACCAAGTGGCACAAGACCCATGCTTCAGACCACGCTGCCACTGCGGACCCCCATATCCCTAAATTGAAAATTTAATTTCATACTGTAAGCTTTGTTATGTATTATATAGCGTTGAATTGCTGTAGCTCCTGAACTTACATAAGTGAAAATAATAAGGCACAAGTGAATATTTTACTGCAATTATGTTGGGTTATGTTCAGTGCCTAAATTATATGAAATATATGCGACACTTTCGGAACTGGCTCTACTCATAATCTTGAAAACTGGGTACCATTATTCTGACAAATATTTCTTACAGTTTTTGTGCTTCCTGTGTTAATGTCACTGGTCAAGACTAAACCTAGAACTCTTTAAATACTAACCCGCTGTCCTACGTTAGCGATTAAATGCGAGCGGTGCGAGTTGAGTGGGTGAAGCGGAAATATCAAACTGGCTGTTTGTGTGGAGCTGTCCTAGGTTCCAGCGAAGCAGTCAGGAGAGGGAAGCGGCCAAAGTCCGAGATCAAATATTTTGATATTTTCGCGCGAGTCACTGCACTGGCCAGTAAGGCACATGTGCAAGAAAGCTCTGATCGTGTAGTACACGGAAGGTGCACGCACTTCTATTGCGGTCTCTCATGTAGGACACAACAAGCGTTTCCCCGCTTCATATGACACCCCATGTTGCTTATGCAGCTCAGGTAGCTCGCTTGTTATCGCTTACGTAGGACATTGAATCAGTGACTGTGATATTTTTATACAGAACAACTTATTTTTTCAGTGTTTCTGAAGTTACTCATAAGACCATTTAACTGTTATATAATCTAAGCAAAAGCAGTAATATATTATAGTGGCTGAATAAGCAACATACCTGAGTGGACCTCACGAGGTTTTGGTAAGTTGGTAACACAAGTGTGGGGACAGAGCAGCACATTAGCTGGATGCAGCGTTCCTTCTAGAAATCGATGCTTAGTCTCCGAGAGATGAATTCCTCCGAGCGGTGTCTTTGGGAGATAGTTTGGTGGGACCAGAGCCAAGCAATATATTCCGACTTGATGGATTGAATCGACTGCCTGCAGGACACGTGACATCCACTGGAAGCTCTGCAAATATCATACACACACACAAGAGAATTACCCACGTTCCTCAATTCCATACTCTCATCCCATCTATATCTCTCTTGTTCAATCAATGAAACTGGATGTTGAGCCTATCAGAAATTCCCTTTAACTCTATTCAAGCTGTCTTACGTAATAACCTCCATTCCCTGCTACTTCTCTCTCCTGGTCCAAATATTTTCATTAGTATTTTAATTTTTAGATACCAACAAATTGTGTTCTTCATTCATTCAGAGTGAACGATGACATTTCACACAACTACTAAAATGGTTGTTCTTCCTAACTAATTTTTAAACAGAATAAAATTATAATATATATATATGTAAATTTTACCTGAAAAAAAAACATGCAAAAGGAAACTAGTGTATACACAAACATGCACTTTAGACTCTTTGACATTTTACCTCCTCCTCGCTGCAGTCAGGTCGCTGTTCTGCTATGACACAAATCCGTTCGTCACGAAGCACGCGTATACTGAACACGGCAATTCGCCCACGGTAGATGAATTTCATGGGTTCCACAGCAAGCACCGTCGCAATGATATCATCGGCATTATGTTTACGCCCTGTTACTGTCATCAGCCCATCACGTGATCCACAGACAAACACCAAGCCACCCTTTAGCAAAAAGAATAAAGATCCACTATTAAGTGACCTGTTCTGCATAAAAATACCGTAGCTTCAGTACAGACATGACGCAGGCTGTACATTTTCTACATTTTTTTTTGCACAAAGGAAAGATCATGTCTGCCTTGTCTGTCTGCACATGAAGATTGGAACTACAAAGAACACAAAAAAACAAAAAAGAACATATCTCAATTCCTACAAATGAATCGTTGCTTTTCTTCTGAACTTTAGATTACTATCACGTAATTGCACAGAAAAAGTGGAAAAAAAGTACTTACAGGGCCAAGGAAGCCAAGGAGACCACTGCGCGTGTACTCAGCTTCTCCTATCGGTTTTCCGTCGCTACCGAGCGGCTGAACTCTGAAAGCACTGTTGGTAAGACCTTGCAGACCCCAATACTGGCTTCCTGTTGCACCTGAATTTACACAGATCTCCCCTACCTCATCTGTCTTGCAGAGGAAAGACGGACCATCCATCCTCACAACCACAATTACACCTACAACACGATGACACATGTAACAGTTAACACTCCTGACAATCTCCTGTCCTGTAACACAGTAATTTAAACAGACATATGGCCTCCATCTTCAGAGTTGACACTGTTAGAAATGCAGAAAGAAGTAAAAAAATACTTACAACCAGGCATGACTTGCCCGCAGTCTTGTAAAGTAAGTGACGTAAGAGAGTTCTCTTGATCGACGCGCACAACGCCATAGCTGAGGCCCGACATAGACAGTACACCTCTTCCTGTAGCATTCACCCCTGCACGTCCTGGCCTGAAGGAACATCACAAATATCAAAATAGTGTAAGGAGGAAACTGCCCTTGTGTGGGTGCTCACGAGTTCCATAAAACCAAAGTCAAGGTACTAAAAGAGATCACGGACACTATCAGAAGATCATAATGGAGAAACTGCAAAGGTTATCTGCACCCTAAGCCTGATACACATAACCCCATGCCCTCAAAGTCTACCAGAGATGTAAAATATTCATTTATTTATTTTCTGCAATTTGCAAAGTAGGATTTTTTTCTTCAGACAGTGCAAAACATCATTTAAAGGCTTTAAACTCCAGCGCTACGGATGGAATTTAAACGACTGGCAGTAAATGTGCTTATGTCAGAATGAAAATGACATGAAAACCTAGAGGTTTCTATGCCTTAGATATATTTCACAGCAGTACACAAATGTTTATTAGTGTCCTGTGAAATAGGGGTATTTCTTATAAATTTTAATTAAATTTTGAGTTACTAAAATGTAATTTTCATCCACTCTATACAAAATGGATGCACAACCTGCAGTTTCTCTTCCCTACGACAGTCACATGCACATTGTTTTAACATAAAATTAGTTTAAGGCTGGCGTTCATAACATAATCTATCATTACGGTTTTAACATAAAATTAGTTTAAGGCTGGGGTTCATAACATAATCTATCATTACAAAACTTTACCAGGGATAATGTGTGACAAACCCCGAGTAACATAATACTACAAGGCTCACCTCCTCACAGAGACTGTGAGACATTCACTGGAACTTGCACAAGGACAGATGGCATCAGGCCTAAGCCCTTTGGCCTGGAACACACTGAGGAACTGATCACATGATGACAATGACCATGGATTTGCCCCGTCTGCTACAAGGAGCAATCGTAGCGACGATAAACTCACTTCCTTGTGGTCCTTGGTTGCCAGCAACCCCCAGTGCAGGTCCCGTGACTTCACCACAGCTACACTAGCTGCCAACAGAATGCGACAGAAGTTCAGTCAAAGTATGTCACTATTCCTATTTGGTCCTGTGACACATTCACGTACAAAAAGCCTGGTTACCTAATGTGCAACTGTACACACCACAGAACATATTATTTAAATTTCCATGTCCAGCACTGTTTAAGATAGTGAGATACGCCCACGTGTCTTAGAAAGATACGAAGGGCAGGCATTTTTCAGTGTTAATTCGCTGGGGTCACAAGACTTATACGTGAACTAAGGACAGCCACGATTAAGTATGCAGAGATGTATAGGCGTATGTTGCATAATTATGTGAATGGACATTGTACTGTCAGAACATAAAATGATTTCTGTCTTCTGCGTTGTTGCGCTGTGTAGTCTGGTCGATGTTAACCAACGTTTCAGAGGTCATACTGCCTCC